GGTGGTGGGAGCCTCTCCCTCCTCCTCAGCAGCGCTAAGGATGTCTGACTGCAGCTTAGGCCTGCTCCCCGCTGGCAAGTGGACATCCCCTGACGGCTCCTGGGCTGCTAGAGGGATGTCTGATTGCCCAATCCCCGGGGAGCGGGCCTAAGCCAGCAGGTGGTCATCCCCTGAGGGGTCCCAGACTGCGAGAGGGCACAGGCCAGGCTAAGTGCCCCCCCCCCCCCCCGAGTGCACACATTTTTGTGCACCAGGCCTCTAGTCTATGATAATAAAAGGGTAATATGCTAATTAGACCAGACATCTTCCTGACATCATTCCAGATGTCCTTCCTGATGAAGCTAGGGCTGGAGGGAAGCCAGCCTGGGTCCCAGGTACCTGTGGTCAGCCCAGGGGAAGCCAGCCTGGGTCCTGGGTGCCTGCCGATGGCCGGAAGAGGGAAGCAGCCCAAGTCCCGAGTGGAGTGCCTGCTGGCAGCTGGAGGAAGGAATCCCGGGTGCTGGAGGGAAGCCGGTGCCAGCAGCCCAGGGAAGGAAGGCCTACTCTTGCATGAATTTTTGTGCATCAGGCCTCTAGTAGGCTTACAATGTACTTGCTTTTCAGTGAATTTAGGCTATCCTGCATTCTCTCTGTCTCTTTTCTTTCTTTTCATAGAACCTCCTTCACTCACCTGTCCATTACAAAGCCTAAGGTATGGCAAAGGTCTCATATTCACATTAAGTCATTGTGATATATATATTCCCATGCAGACATCAGATCTGATTGAGTACTGTGAGGAAGCCACATCTTTCCTGATCATCTGCACATTTTCATTCATCATTTCTTATACCTGGTCCAACATTGATGCCTCTCACCCAAACCCCTTCCTTCTCCCACAGTTTCTAGCTCAGGATATTCTAATAGGCATGAGTCATTCATTGAGAGGAATAAAAATTCAATAGGGCTCAGGGATGGCTAGAAAAATGGTAGAGATCAGAAATTATTTTCCCAAGTAATAGGACAACAAACATGAGAAAATAACTCAAAGCAGACCAAGTTTCATGTCTGAATGAATGTCAAATTCATCATTATGGTGTTCATGCTCAATAATTATAAAGAATACTGTCAGAACAATTCTGAAATCTCTTTAATGCGTAAATAGAATCTTTTATTATCATTTAAATGCACTAACTGGTAGATTGCTCATGAAAACCAGCTAGCCAAATATACTTTTCTATCAGATATCATAAACATTTCTTCCTGGTTTTAAAAAAAACAGCATTTTCTTATGAAAGTACATTTGTTGTTGACATATTCTATAACACTGTTTCATAGGAAATGTTATTTGAAAATTTCCTGGTATTCTGCTCCTGGTTTGTTGAATTACCATAGTTGTACCTGTAGGCAACTATTCTGTTCAAAATATTTTCTTCAAAACAATTATTTTCAAAAATGTATTTTCACATTGGCAGTCTCCAGGGAGTTTGATAAAAGCTGGACAAATAGCTCTCTAAACCTAGTGAATCAAATCCCTGGACTGGGGACCATTAGCTGAATTTGTACCCAAATGGACAAGTTTGCTTACCTGAGTATGGAATGCACTGTTCTGAATATTTTCTTGATATGCCCACACCGAACAGATCTTAAACCTGGATAGCTATCAAAATTACCTTGGGAGCTTTTAAATACTTATATTCACTGGTCTCATCCACAAAAATTTAATTATGTAGCTCTGAAGATGAGCAACCAGAATCCATATTTTGCAAAAGGTTCTCAAATGATTCATATAAGGGTCACACTTGGGAATGACTTTTAAAAACATATTAATAGTTTCATTTTCATATTCTGCAGTTTGGGAAAAATCTGAACTTAGCAATTAACTCATTTAAAAAATAAAACAGTTAATTTAAAAATATATATTTAAAATATAAATATTAAAAAATTATTTTATTATGTTTCCATCACCTATACCCTCTTCCACCTCCCCCACCTCCAACAATCACCACTAAATGCTTAAACATAGGACAACCCTAATCTACTTAGAGGATCATTAAAAATGAAGTTATTAGACTTCTGTCTGTTTTTAAATGTGCTAAATTTCCACTGAAACATTCAGTATATCCAAATATCTAAAGTGACTCCCCCTTCCTAGTTAACATATTATCATGCTCAACCCCTTATCAAATTTATTAAATTTTACTTATTTATATCTCCCTCTGCTTTAACATAAACTCCATAAGGATAAGAACTCTTTAAGCTCTGTTCATCACTGCACTCCTAGGGCCGAGAACAATGGCTGCTAGTACATAGTAGGTGTTCAATACCCACCTGTTGAATGACAATTCAAATTCATTAAATACATACATATACTGGACTACAGGATACATATACATGATTTATGTATAGATCATTCTATGTGTGCCATATATCTATATATGAGATTGGCATATTATCCAGTCATTCACACATATACACGATGCAAGTGTAATTTCTTATTTGCTAATAAAAGTACATTTTATTAGTTATGAAAGCTGTTCTCTTATAGTCAAAGGCAAAAAGAGAGTTTGGTACTCATGAATAGGTAGCCTCATCCCTTTTATTTGAAAGGGACCTGGAGGCCTAGCTCTGGATTTTTATTAGCATTTCTTTTCAAGAGGAGTCACGCTGCTGCAGCTTAGGTGCTATGAATCACTCCCACTTCATGTACGTGAAAAGCAGCTGAATCATGCTGGAATCAACGTCGCCCATCCTGGAATTAGGAATGTGGCAACTACTTAGCCTTTATTCACATGATAGAAATGCAGTTAATGGCATTGTTATATCATCACATTGGAAAAAAATTTAGAAGCAAGTGGCTGAAAATATTCTCTCACTGTGTAAGATAGTGAAGACACTCAAAGCTTACCTTTAAAAATATTTCTAGACGATGAGGCTTTATAATTGCATCTTTTCTCTCTGGGTAATAGCCTTTTCAAGTGAAGAGTGCAAGAGCAGGATTCACTTTATTTTATTCAAAGAATTTTGCCCAAAAAACAACCAAAGCTAAAACACAAAGTGTCTTTCAATCATTTTCTTCACTGAACATTATGCTAATTAGTAATTTCAGAACATAACCAAGAGTGATGGCTTAGAAACTCATAGGAAAAGAGCCTGAAACTGCTTTTTCCCCTCTTTAAAAAATTATTTATTAAAGGAGAGGAGAAAGTACTTTAGCGGTAGCCATCAAAATGTTTGAATTTAATTTTGTTGTTGTTTTTAAGTTATGTAGACACTTTTGATCTCATAGTTTTATTGTTATTGGGTGTTTTCTTTTAAATTTTCAAATGTCAGCTCATACTTGGCTCAACATAGCTGTAGAACAGTGTAATATACATAAAACCACATGTGGAATTACTGCCTTTCTAACTTTTTAGTCAACAACAAACTTTTCTATTTATTACTCTACAGGTATAATTACTCACTCTTGTCAGATTGTGTTCCTCTCTGCCCATCTCCATTCTCAGTACATTTTGTTCTCATTCGGTATTGATTGTGCTGAAGTACAGCACAATCATGAGATCAGGCTTCTAGTCTCCAGCAATGCAAGTGGTTGGTCATGTGCATTGGGCAAAGGTTTTCATTTGGTTTATGTCTAACAGGGTAATGGGCAAATCAAAGTCTCTGGGCCTTTACTCCAAGGCAAGGAACTGATGTTTAAACAGAAAATGAATGGAATTGTTCAGGCAATTAGAGCGAAGAACATTCCCAGTGAATAAGGGAGGGACAAGTGTTCTTGGCAGGGAGAAGAGGCGTGTGCAAAGACTCAGAGAATTAAAACTTGATGATCCAACAAACTACTCTTAGTTGTGCAGGCTACAGTGAAGTATAAATACAGAAGGAACAGAAACAAAGACATCAGTGTCTGTTTTATTCAGAGAAAGAACACAAGAGATAGGAATAGGAAACATTTGTAGCTTTGGCCTCTTCCAGTTCCCATTCCTGTTTCTTTGAGCAAGTGTTGTATCCTCCTTTTCATGGGATCCAACTTCCCGTTAGCCAGCTGATTTGACAAAGAACTAAATCCCTCTGACAACAAGCCTTCCTAGTGT